TTGCTGCTGCTGATGTTGGCTTTTGAGACACAAGGCATTTTTGCACATGGGGTGCTGAGGCAGATATAGGGTGTTCTCCTTGTTCCTTGCTCTGCCCTCCAGCCTGTGCATCATTATTTTAGCCTGTTTGTTAAAGGGTTTCAGACGAAAAGTGAGGTCTCGCATGCCATGTGGAGGGTTTATAGGAGAGATGCTTGGATATGGAAATTTTTATGCTGTAGGGAAATGTGTGTGCTTGGGCTCGTTTTTGTTCTGAATACAAGTGAAAATATTAAATTTTGGAGTTTCTCACAACCCTAGCTGTAAAATAACCCCAAAACGTAGGCATACGGGCAACCCTGAAGTGTGCTTGATCGTCATAACGTGGCCTGAGGATGCTGAAACGATCTTCGCATTTTGTTCCAGCACATTTTTTGGCGAATCATTCCCATTTCAGTGTTACTGCCTTTTGCAAAGGCACTCCATTCCTCTTCTTCGGCTGGGCTGAGTTTGGAGACTCCAGCTACTGGATCCAGATTCCCTTTGGAGACAGGTTGCGGTGTTCATGGAGGTCTTGCACTTCTCCTTGAGAGAGATTGCTGCCTTTGTCTCCACACTCCCCACCTGCAGGCAGTGCTATGCTTTGATGGGCAAACCCAGCGTTGTTCATTTTGTGTGGCTGGGAGCTGGAACTCTTTTCCCTCTCAATGGGCCTGGATTCCTCCTGTGATGGAGTGTGGCAGGACACCATGGAGTGGTCCATGTGCTCCATTTTCCGATTACAGCATGGGGGGAAAAGGCATCAGCTCTTTGCTGCAAAGCCCTTTATAAACAGACAGTGGGATGTCAGGGCAGCAGTGGGGTTTTGTGGAGGTCCTCTCCTCTTTGTGGTGCCTTGCATAATGTTCACAACTGTTTTTGCTGTGTTTTCCCTTTGCTCACACTCCCAGTACTAAGACAGCCTCTTGCCCATGAGCCTTCTCATCCCATTCCAAAACCATCACAGTTTACAAGCCTGCTGGAGCGTGGCAGTGGGCTCCATGTCTGGCAGCCCTGTGCCTGATGCCAGAGAGAGGCAGACATCCATTATAATGTGACGACAGGACAGGGTTGGGACAAGCACTGCTTGGTCTTTTGAAATGGAGGAAGAAATAGTACGTCTCCAAGTACTATTTCTGCTTTGGATGATGCTTTGGATGGCCAAACCGCTGGTGAGTGCCAAACTGGTTGGTGAAAACATCTCCAAACTCATCGTGCCTTCGTTTGGTTGGGCCAGCAGCTCTGGCTGACATGGGCTGGATGAGATGCAGGTGTCTGATCCCAAAGCATAAGTTTTCCTTCTGGAAGGGAGGAAGGAAAAGCTCCGTTCCTTCTTTGCCATGCTGGTGTGATGGTTGGGAGCAGGAGAACTGCAGATCATGGATGGCAAAAGGCAGGGGCTGAAGCTGGTGCTTTTAGAGGCTTGGCCAGAACCAAGGAGGGGTAACATAGTGAGAAGCACTGTTCCTGCTAGCTTCTCATCACCCCAGCCACTAACTAAAGCCTTTGGTATGCATGAAAACACTGGATTGAAGCTCAGGACTATTCACCTGAATTTCCTCTCCTCTTGGGTGTAGTTTAAGGATTGGGCTGCAATATTCCCCAGCCAGTACGGGGTGGCAGTTCGCTGTCACATAGAGCTGGATCTCTGCAGGAGATCCTGGAGCTGAGACACTGAGAAGGAATTTTCTGCCTTAGGAAAGCCATAAACCTTTAAATATCCTGTTTCCACTGTGCGGTGGACTCGGAGGTTTCCAGACAGGCTCCCTGGGTGGTGGAGTCTCCCTGGGTGCGGGGTGAGTGTGTGTGTATGGGTGTAAATGAATGTCCTGAGGCAGAGCAAACCCCAGGACTTGGCTCTTATGGGACATATCAAAATGTGAAAAAGATGGGGTCTCTTCCCAGCATCCCCCAAAATCCTGGCCACTGCACTGGCCCTGTCACCAAGGCCACCTGGCCGGACCCCCACTGCGGCTGGGCTATGGCAGCTCGGTGTTAGCAAAGCCGAGCATTTTCTCATGGTTGATTTTGTCCCTCGGGAGCTCTGGAGCAACTTCTTATGCACCGATGCTCTTTGGCTTTGCCTTGCCTTGCTCCGTCGGGTGGCCGAGGCGTTCGTCTCGGCTTCACTAGAGGGCGCAGGAATTTTAGGCTAGAGCCGCGGAGGTTTGTCGGGGAAAGTTGGCTGCCTTTTCCTCCTTTTTAATCAACTGGAAAGATGCAGGGTTGAACTGGAGGTGACTGGAAGGGGATCCAGACTTGTGTCTGGCTGGGGAAGGATCTGCTGACATCTGGGATTAGGCGGCGTGGAGCACAGCGGCGGCGAGCGGACGGGACGGTGCAGTGTGGCTGGGATACGGAGATGTTGGATGGCCCCGTGGCCAGGAGCTGCAGGCTCCAGCAGACGTGGGGGGCATCTGGCTGGGGCCGGAGGAGCCTGAGAGGAAAAAGGACAGCTCAAAAAAGAGCAAACCTCCCCCAAATTCCCCCCCCCCCCCCCAGTGCTAAATGCTCATCCTTTTTCAGGCTGGGCAGGTGCTGTGTTGACATCCATAGGGCCTCAGTCTTCTCTTCCTGAGGGTCCTCTCCTGCGCACATCATTCCTTGGGACAGGGATTCTTCTCTTCAGAGTCTGCCTTGGTCTGCAGGGTGCAGGTCTGGGCCCTGGCTGGTTCTCTGCACCACTGCTGCAGTTTTGCACAGTAAGACCAGAGGCATTGCTTGGGCTGCTGTAGTTTCTGCAGGATGCAGGGGATTCCTGAGCACTTGGCCTGTGGGAGACACTTGGGCAGAGCTGGGGAGGACAGGGTTTCTGACAGAGGCCATCTCCATTGGGACGGTGTCTCCAAGGAGGGCTGCAGCCCCAGTGTTCTTTAGGCAGAAGCTGTCCCTTCATTGGCTCTGCTTTTGACTGGGAAACTGAGTCACGGGAAGTGTTTGTGGGAGGCAAAGTGGTTCACTGGGGGTTTCTTTACTTATCTCAACTGGATGGGAAACATTTGTGTCCCTTCACCAGCCCCACTCAGGAGATCCTGTCCCATGCTTCATGTCTTCCAGCCCTCCTCCAGCTACCACTGCATCAACGCCTGATGTCCTGCTCGTGTCCCCCAGGAGCCATCCTTTTCCCAGCTCCCTTCATACCTTCCCCAGGCAGCTGAGGAACTCAGCTTTAGCACCTCCAGCTTCTCTTTGCCAAGCGGCTGCTTTTTCACCCCCTCACACAGGCAGCTCTGCCCGAGCATCGCTGCCCTTTCCAGGCTTAAAAATAGCTTGTGAAGTGCAGGGAGGCGGCAGGAAGCAGCAGCCGCACCGTCTCGCGCCCTGGCCGTGATCTCGCCGCCCCGCTGTTCATTCATTCACTCATTCATTCATTCCTCCCTTCCCTTCATTCATGCCTCCGCTCTGCATTGCCATCCGGGGACCGCTGTCTGTCTGCAGGCGGATCTGTCTGTCGGTCGGACTGCATTTTCTTTCCCATGCCGTTTGCATGCTGGCGTTTCCATCGGGAGCCTCTGAGCTTGGCCCCACCGTGCGTTGTGTGATGAGTTTTACTCAGGGCTCAGCCCGGTGTATTATGAAGCGGCTCTTGTCGAGCCTCCTGCCTGGGGGCTGCGAGGGGACAGAGGTGTTATTTCACCAAACAAACTCCCAGTGAACGATGTGCATTAGCAATGAGGGGTCGCAGCCAGGAAAATATTACCTTTCCCTTTGAGTGCTGACTGCGGAGGAAATTCTCACATTTACAGCTCCAGCGAGCCCGGCGCTCATGGAAAGAGGGGGTGGCTTTGATTTCTCTCCTCTTTTGATAACTTTGCAGCCCCCCCACCATGCATTAAGCCCCCTTTGGGAACTGGCCACCGGTGGAGGCTACACCAGCTTGCAGCTCCCTACTTGGGAGCCTGTTTTGGTTCGATTTGCCCGGAGGCCTGGCATGCGGCGGTGCGTGCGTGCGTGCTGCATGCGGCTCCTCGTGTGTCTGTGTGTCTGTATGTGTGTGTGTAGGTTAATAAAATATAAACAAACAGCACTTTTTCCTCCGGTGCACTCTGGGAGGGATGCGGCCGGGGATGCTGAATGAAAGCGTGCGCTGTGGGCTGCGCCGGGGAGGGCTGAAGGGACATTCCTGGCATTGCTGAGCTCCTCATGCAACGTGGGCCCTGGCCCAAAACTGGAGTAAGGAGCCGTTAGCATCGGGGACCTGGGGAGGTCCACTCCTGCGCAGTGTTTACTCACAGAGCCTAAATTAATAGTATCTGCTGACATCAGGGTTTTTTCCCTGGTTTCCCAAGCAAATGAGCCGTGTGTGAGTGCAGCCTCTGCGTACGTGTGTGCTTCTCTTCCTCACTTGAACCCTTGTCTGGGCTCAGCTAGATTGCACAGAGACCCCAAAATACTTGCTTTACTTCATTTTTACACATATTAACAGAAGGGGGTTGATAAGTGGAAGAAGCCGCCAACCCTCCCCTTTGAGAGAAAAGCTTGTGTGTGTTTGCCTGAGTGCACAACCACGTTAGCCAGCAGAGAATCCCCATGGAAAAGATGTATTAGTAGTATCCAAGTCGTGGGGTGAATGTGACTGGGGGAGCCTTGAGACATGGAGCTGTGGGAAAGCAGGTTCCATCCGTCCCTCTGTGTGCAGGGTGAAGCGTTTCCTCCCATCTCGGCTTAGCACCGTGTTATTGCCCATCATTTGAGATGCACTGTCCCTGGAGACATTCAAGGCCAGGGTGGATGTGGTTCTGAGCAACCCGATTCTATGATTTGTGATGGTTGTAGTGGGCATCAGCTGATATTTCTCCATCAACCTTTTAGGCAGCTATTTTTGGGATTGGTGATTCTGGATGATGAATTCTGGATGATGACATCTGCTCTGCATAGGAGAGCTGTGGCATCCGTTTTGGTGGGCAGAGGCTGGTTACAACAGAAGGCAAAGGGTAGGGTGTTGGGACTGCATAGAAACATCTGCTTGCTCTCTTTTGTAGGTTTTCTCCAAAATCTTCAGCCATGAGGCACTGGAGAGCTATCTCCCCAAGATCCAGCTGGTGATCAAAGACACTCTTCGGGCCTGGAGCAGCAGCCCTGAGTCCATCAATGTCTACCACGAGGCTCAGAAGCTCACCTTCCGCATGGCCATCCGTGTCCTGCTGGGATTCCGCATCCCAGATGAGGAGCTCAACCGCCTCTTCGAGGTCTATCAGCAGTTCGTGGAGAATGTCTTCTCCTTGCCTGTGGATTTGCCCTTCAGCGGCTACAGGAGGGTAAGAGATTTGGGTCAAGTCCTCCACTTGCCGATAGCACCCACCTGAGATTAATGGGGTGATTGGTATAGAATCTCTCTATACATCTATATATGGAGTGGTTGCTATAGAATCTCCAACTCTATAGGCTGCCGGTGGGATGTCTTCTCACCCTCTGACCTCCAGAAGCAAGTCCATTTTGGGCTATAAAGTTTAATTTGGATGGAGTGGAGAGGAAGATCCATTCATAGGCTTTCAGGGTGCTAGGGATGGCAGTTCAGTGCAAGGGAGAAGGCAGTCAGGACTTGCCCAGGTTTAATGAGCAATTTCTCCTCACTTGTAGCTGGCAGTTTTGCTGCACTTATTTGTTTGTGGGACCTTTCTCCTGTTACTTTCCTCCTGTCCCCAGGGCAAAATAGGTCAGTGGAACTTTAGATTCCAAGAACTATTCCAGGTTTTTGATGAACGATGCAAAATGAAAATGTAACAAAAGACACTGACAAAAAGAAAATATATTCTTTTAATGGAGAATTTTGGCAACAGAAATCTGGGGTTTAAAATCTGTTTCTTGCGATTATCACTGCAAATTTTGTCCCTGTTATTTGACCACTGGAATGAGCCCATTTGCCACCCTGAAGCATCTGCAGCAGCAGGTTAACCCGGTGCAGCTGCACTCAGATAGGAATTGCTTTACTGAGTCCAGGTGATAAAATTGCTTGGGAAGCCCATTACGATCCTGGGAAGAGGATCCTTTTGGATGAATTGGCTTTCCTTTGAGAGACAATTTTCCCAGGGACTGCCACACATCCCAGGGTGAGCCAGAGGCCTGTGAACTGGTGCAGTACTGGGGCTCCCACATCAGACCTATCATTTGCACATAGGTGCTGATTACTCCTGCCTGTAATTTCGCCTACTTTGAGTTTACTCCTCCTGCCCAGGGGAACAACTTCAGCATCTTTATACGTCTCTTTAAGCATCTGCAATTGCAGTTGTATTACTTGGATATGTTGTCCTGAACATGTCTCAAGCTCCTGGGGATGCTGGGCTGGGGGTGGTGGTGCTTACATTGTGTCTTCCGTGGTCTGATGGCTTCCTGCTCCACAGGGCATCCGGGCACGTGAGACACTTCAGAAAGGGCTGGAGAAAGCCATCCAGGAGAAGCTGCAGAACACGCAGGGCAAGGACTACGCTGATGCACTGGACATCCTGATAGAGAGTGGCAAAGAACACGGCAAGGAGCTAACCATGCAGGAGCTGAAGGTAAAGAGCTTCCTCATGGTCACCTTTGGCTTGCTGTCCTCAGGGCCGGGGCTCCCTGAAGAGCAAAGCATGAGCTTCTGTAAGGAGGACTTTTTGGGGCCAACTTGAGATGACCAGTAAGAGCTGGGGGACCACAATGTGTTGTTGGAGCTGCAGATGGATCCTGGTCTGGTGGGTTGTGATGCCAACAAGCTAGTTGATGGGGCATTCTTATTTGCACATCACACTTCGTCCTTTCAAAAAAGCATTTCCAGGGAATACCAAAAGACCATGCAAGTTTTCTGGAGCTTTCAGGCTTTACCAGCTTCATCCCTTGACCATCCACTTTTACCGTGTCCTCTTTGCGGGGCATATGAGCCCTGGCAAGCTGTAATCTGCAGCAGGGTCATGGCATAACTTGTCCTTCATGTGCCAACCCCAGGGCTTTTTCTCCTGCCTGTATGCTCCTCAGCATCCTTCAAAACTCTGCAGAAAGCTGTGCATGGTGGGTATCCAAGACCTGTGCCTGGATATAGAGATACCTTGCAGTTAGACTTGACCAGGCTGGAGAGCTGTTGGGAAAAGAACTGCCCCATGGCACCCCGTGCGCCTGCCCCTTGATATGCCATAGCTGCTGTTCTGCCTATCTGCCTATCCCCCGTGTCTTAGCCTGGCTTTGCTCTTATCTTCCAGGATGGTACCCTGGAGCTCATCTTTGCCGCCTATGCCACCACTGCCAGCGCCAGCACCTCTCTGATCATGCAGCTCCTCAAACACCCCCGGGTCCTGGAGAAGCTGCGTGAGGAGTTGCGCAGCAAAGGCATCCTCCACAACGGCTGCATCTGCGAGGGCTCCCTGCGGCTCGACAACATCAGCAGCCTCCAATACCTGGACTGTGTCATCAAAGAGGTGCTTCGCCTCTTCACCCCCATCTCTGGGGGGTACCGGACAGTGCTGCAAACCTTTGAGCTGGATGTGAGTATTGCCGTGTCTCCAAGGTGTGGCTACACCGTGAGCTCCCCAAAACAGCCTTGTTGTTGCATGTTATTGCATATCTTGCTTGAGCGTGGCTTAGATGAGACCTCAGGGAGGATGAATTAGGTCCTGCTGGAGATGGGAGGTGGAACTGGTGTGGATTCAGAGCAGAGTGATGGGATCTGGCCCATGGCAGGGAAGGGATGCGCTTGAACTGTCAAAGAGGAGACAGGCGTGATGCTTCAAAGAGCAACTCGTGACAGGGTTTGACGCCAAAATCTGAGCTGGGGTGTGGCAAGGGAAAGGTTTACTGCAAAGGGCATCTCCAGGCTGCTGGCTGACAGGCAGATTACTCACCACGATGGCTGGAATTTCCTACTAGCAAAACAAAATCTTGAGACCTGCCTTGTTGCTGTAAATCCTATTAATGTAATGATTTGAGTCGGAAACCTTTTAAAATGCTCAGGGGATGCTAAATCCACCCAATTTCTCATCACCCAGGCCCTGACATGTGCACTGGGCGTTGGGCTGACAGGAGGCAGGATGTGAGCAAAGCCATGGGATGCTCTGGGGAGATGCTTCCCTCTCTGCTCGGCGGCAGTCAAGCACCAGGGGGCTCCTGGTAGGCAACTCCTGCCAGTGACCACAAAGCAAGTAAATAACAATGGATCATCCGGAGGGTCTCTGGGACAGAGACGGGAATAAACTCAGGATTACCATCTCCCAGGTCTTTGCTCTGCGCTTTCTGGTTTTCTTTTAAGTCTGCATCATGCTTGAGTAGTAAACCTAAAGAAAAAAGGGAAAAAGCAGACAAAGCAAAATGGTTTTATCTTGTCATCCTGCTCCCTCTCTCTTTACAGTAGAGTTGACTCTGGTTTTCTCTTCACCCCCTCCCTCTTCTCTGCAGGGTTTCCAAATCCCCAAAGGCTGGAGCGTGATGTACAGCATCCGGGACACCCACGACACTGCCCCCGTCTTCAAGGACGTGGATGTCTTCGACCCTGACCGCTTTGGTCAGGGTCGAAGTGAAGACAAGGACGGCAGGTTCCACTACCTCCCCTTCGGAGGAGGCGTACGGACCTGTCTGGGCAAGCACCTGGCCAAGCTCTTTCTCAAAGCATTGGCCATTGAGTTGGCCAGCACCAGCCGCTTTGAGCTTGCCACCAGGACTTTCCCCAAAATCACCCTGGTGCCCGTGGTCCACCCTGTTGATGGACTCAAGGTCAAGTTTTTCGGACTGGATTCCAACCAGAATGAGATCCTGACGGGGACAGATGCCATGCTGGGGGCAACTGTGTAAAGCCCACGCTGGTGGCACGAGGGACGGGCAGCCGGGGGATGGAGGGTTGGGATGGGGACAAGGGGACGAACAGGAGGGGAGGAGAGAGGGATGAGGAGCTTCTCCACGATGCTCACTTCGCAGAGCCTCCAGGTCGGGACTGCTTTCTCCACCGGTGAAGCTGCCAAAACCGTTTTGCTCTTCCCACGTGGAGCAGAGAAGATGTCACCGTGCATCTCCTTTGTTGGAAAGGAGTAAAGAGTTGCAAAACCCAAGGCGAGCTGGGATGTCTGACCATACACAGTATCTAAATATTATAAATATATATATATAAATATCTATAAAACACTTCTGCTGCCAGGAGGAGCGCTGCAAAGGCCCGGCTGCGGGAAAGGCTTTGGGAATCAGCCCACGATCAGAGGTCTGGCGTGCCTGGGTGGCTCTTGGGTGGCCTCTGATCTTTTTCTTTTAACAGTGTTAAATTAGCTGGTGATAACAGTGTTTTTGGGTTTTTTTTATTTGTGGCTTTGTTGGGTTTTCCCGTTTGTTTGGCTGTGTTTTTTGTTTTGGGGCATTGGAGGCTTTTCTTGGCAAGGGGGAGACAAGTGATGCCCATTCCCATCCCGTCTCCAGGGCAAGCGGGGAAGGTGGAGCTGCCGTTTGCCTCTGATATGGGACCTAAAAACCCTGTGGTGTCTTGTCTGGGCCTGAATGGATGGGGAGCCATCCCCCTGAGGCCTTGGACAAGTGCATATCTGCATTTGGGGCACTGGGTAAGGGAAGGGGTGTCCTTTTTGTTCTCGTTGAGTTTCCTGCTGCTGCTACACGGCCTGTGTGCACCCATTCCCTCCCCGCAGCCCCTCACCAGCCCCTTTCCCATGCAAAGGCATCCATTTTGGGGCATTTTGTGGTGCCTTTGTTCTCTTTCAAGGTGCAGGCACCAAACTGCATGGCCCTGCCGACCCACCGTGGCTCTGCAAGCACCACGGCACTGAGCAAAGCCACCCCACTCGGAGCTGCTCATTTCAGTGTGTCTTCTTCCACAGGAGGTATTTGCATTAAAGGTGATCTCTATAAATAAGCCAACATCTGCATTGTTTGTCTTCTGTTTGGGTTTTATTTGGCGATGGGAAGAGCTCAGCAGGAAGGAGAGTCAACAGTGGGCTCCTTGCAAGCTGTTGGCCCCATTCCACCACTAATCCAGGAGATGGACCATGCTCAAAGCTTCTCCAGCACAAGCAAACGGTCACCAAGGTATCTTGTATTTGGTTTGCTGGGTGGGTTTCTTTAATTTTCTTTACTTTATGCATGCAAGAAGCTTCTGGGTTGAGTGTGAGATGGGTGGCTTGTGTTGAAAACAGACATGGCCTTGCAGGTGGGTGCAGAACAAAAGTTCCCTAAGCACCCCAGCAGGCGTTTGGTGCAGACCAGAGCGAAGCACCAGGTTGGGAGATCCTCTATGACCTGAAGCATCCCTGCCCGTCCTGCCCCACTCCTCTCCCATCTGCTGCCCTCCGTGGTCGAAAGACCAACACAAGGAGCATGGTTGAAACCTCTCCTAACTGTGACAGGAAAAGATCTTGTGCTCAGGTAGGCAGCTTGGCTTACAGCTTTAAAGGTGTCCAGATAAGTCAAAGGGGTTGAAATAAGAAAGGGCGAAGGGGCAGATGTGGCTTACCAGGTTGCTTTGCAGGTTGTGCTTTTGATGAGTGGGTGCCTCTTTGGAAGGTCAAAGGAAGTGTGAAGCGAGTGATGGTGATGGCTGCCTTTGCCAGCCCATCGTCTGGTGGGGGCAAGGAGGAGGGAGGCAGTGTTTTAGCCAGGGGAAGCACTTGAGGTTGGATTGCCGTTAAGCCAAGCTGCCACAGACCCTCCAGGAGCATCCCAGTGGATGGTCCACTCACACCAGGGTGCACGGCTTGATTTTCAGGTTGGTTTAACCTCAAATTAAACTCCCAGACTTCTAGGAGATGCCATTCAGACCCAGATCTTGCCTTCTGGTTGATAAACAACGTGCCAAACCCTATAGCAGGGTCTCAGGAGTCTCTTTCTCTGCGCACGGTGTCCCTGAAGCAGAGGCTTAGTTACTTTGCCAGCCTGGAAATTTGGAGTGAAACACCACTAGCTCAGGCACTGTTGAGATTTCAGGTGTTTTCCTTGTCCCCGATGGAGAGAAAACTTTCCCGATGATAAAAGGAGCTTAATCACAATCAAAATCCCAAAGGGCAAAGAAGCAAAGGAGAACATAAACCTGGATACTGTGGGAAGGGGTAAGTGCCCCAGGGCCAGACATTTGGGAAGGGAAAGTGGCAAAGGAGGGTGCCCATGGTCTTTGTGGATGACAAGCACTTGTAGGACATGGGGACAGGGGCAGAAGGTGGAGGGTCTGCAGGGTGAAAACCCATCAGTGACCCGTCACTGCCTGCTCTCCGGGAGATCCCATTTCCATCTGAGACCTGTCAGAGGGGTGATAAAACTGTACTCAGGGGAAAGGAGGCTGAAAAAGGGGAAAAGCAGGAGAAGGGAATGGATGACAAGGATAAAAGGTCTGGTTAAAGCTCATGGGTGGCTTTGTGCTGCCCTGTGGTGAGCAAAATCTCTTTGGCAGAGCTCTCCATAATAGCTCGGTCCCATGTGTGCTTGTGGGAAGGGTTTCACTGGAATGATTTTAACTTCCAATGTGAAAAACAAAGTGAAAACCAAACATGCTTTTGAGTGAGTGGTTGATTGGAGAGCGGTAGTGTCAGATGCACACATCCATTATATATATATGCTTACATCATGTGTATATATAATGTTTGTGTGTGTATTTAATCTAGGCATAAGTAAGTCATGCTTTTGTGTTCTTTTTTCCATTCCTAACTAATATAACTTGACTAAAAAAGTTGCTGCAGTGGGTTTGCAGAATAAAGCACTTTGAATCTCAGAATTGTTTGATTTTTTTTTTCTTAGCACAGTCCAATTTGCTATAATATTATTTTATACACAAAATTTTGGGGTTTTTTTTTGGTCTGTCTTTATAAACTATTCTAAGTACTATTTTTGTTATAATTCAAAATAGATATTTAGTATAAAGTTTTGCTGTTAAATATTTGTTCTTTAGTAAAATATGATTTGTTTTTTCCCTCTTTATTGTAAACAGTGTCTGGAAATAAATATTAATATGTTTTATCACAGTTGTTTTTTTAATATTAAAAAAAAGAAAAAAGCACTTGTGGGGTTTTTCGTTATGAGATTGGTGCCGTGTGAACATGTGTTTCAGTCATGTGGTTTTTAATATGTATATAATATTCTGTGTCGCATATTAAAATGGATGTTGTGTATTTTGTGATCTTAAAAAAATAAATAAAATAATCCATGTGGCTATTTTATAGACTTCCATAATAAAATGAGTTGAATCTCCAAACTTTATTGTTTCATATCCATCTGCATCTCCTCTCAAAGGGCTTGTGGCCTCTTAGTTTGTGGTTTCAGGGTACCATCCTGGTCACCCTATGGGGTTTCTGCACCCATCTGGAGACCTATTGGTCTCCATGGCCAGGGTGAGGCCTTACTGGCTGTCACAGATTGAAATACAGGATATTCCACCTAGATATAAGAAGCAGCTTTTTTTTATAAGGAGGATAGCCAAAGATTGAACCAAGTTGCCCAGAGATGATGTGGCGTCTCCGTCCCTGGAGATACTTGACTCTGACTGGATGTGGTCCTGAGCAAGCAGAGCAAGGTGCACCTTCTCTTGAGGTTCATCCCACTTTGAGGGTCTGGTGAGCTCCTAAATACCCAGTTTCTGCCCAAACCTTTCACCTCTCCCCAGCAAGAGGCAGAGTTTGGACAAAACAAGCAGGAAGAAAAGGAAGGGTGCTTATTTCCCACTGTGTGTGTGCCCTGATGTCTGCTGCAGGCTCATTCAGAGCACAGGAGACCACCATGGCTTGAAGAGCGTACACCCAGCTACTGATTGCATTGAAAGTCTGGACAGTTGGACAGTGGGCAGAATGTAGGTGGTGGAGCAGCCAAGGCAGGACACACTTCCCAAGGGTAGCCCAGGTGGGAATGACCCTGCGGGCAACACCAGTGCTGCAGGTATGACGGGAGCAGAGAGGTGCCCCCAGCCCTCCCATCATCCCCCATTTGTGCTATTGAGACATTGACTGCTCCAGTCATGCGTTCCTCAGCAAACCTGGGTCCCAGAGTTTTCCGTGAGCTTTGAGCTTTTTAAACCCAGAAGGTTTTAGGAACTTCTGGCAGTGGGTGGTGGGATGAAGTGCTCTGCGTGAGATGTGGCAGGACAAGCTGCTGGTGGGAGTTCCAGCTGCACCCATCCCAGGGTGGAGATGGGGTGGGCTGGGAGTGCTTAGAGTAATTAGGCAATTACTGAAGTAATCAGCTTCAGTTTCTTTGCTCTTTGCCTCAAAAAGGAGAGCTCTGATAGCCCCTTGGCTGTGGTGGGAGCGTGGAGAACAGGATGTTGCTGTTCTGCGAACCTCTTCCTATGATCACATTCAAAGGCAAGTGAAGGCTGGAGGAATTAATATAGCTCTTTGCAGTTGGTTGGAAAATATGACCATGCAACCCAAGCCTGTGTCCCTTTGGTGTAACCAGAGGCTGTGAGGCTCCTTTCCCTCCCTTTAGTGCTTTGTGGTCACTCTCTTTTCCTAGTTGCTGCTCTGGATGTGTCCTGCCAACAGCGGTCCTGCCGTGTCTGTCCTGGCTGTCACTAAGAAACTACTGTGTGGTTGCACTCATCCATGGTCCTGTCCCCTTCCAGGCCTCTCCTTGAGCTGATGTGTCACCTCCTCGCCCTTCCTTTCCCTTCCAACCCGTGATGCCTTTATAATACCCCTCTGTCACCTATTTAATAGCTGGGGAGGTCATTTCCTTTTGGCCTTTTCTCTTTGGGATTTCTTCTTTTTCTCCCCTCCCTTTACTTCCATTAATTTATTTATTTTCAGTTTATGGCTCTTTAGCAAGAGCTGCACCACCCCTGGCGGGAGGCGATGTGGCTCCAGCAGGAGCTGTATTCGGGGTGGTCTCGCGGGAGCCGCTGGACGGCAGCGCGGGTCAGTCGGACTCCGTGTACTTTCCATTCGGCTCCGGCACCGAGGCTCACGTTACTCGCTTTGTTTTAACTTCAGCTGAACTCCTGGAAAGTTTCTTTTTAAAGGTTGCGTGTGAGAGCATAGAAAAGGTGTGTGAGTGTGTGTGTGTGTGTGTGTGTGCGTGTGCGTACATGGGCTTTGCTTTTCCCTTTTTCATCTTCTTTTTCCCCTGTCTGAGTGCAGCTTGGTAACTCCTGCAGAATGAAATGGGCTGCTGGAGTGGGTTTATGCCCCCTTGGTCTGGCTGAAGCGTGGCTTTAATCTGCAAAGATCAAGGTTCAGGCTGTTCTAAGGGGATGGTGAGGCAGTGATGAGCTAGAAGGAAGGGTGCTAAATGTTGAATTGTCACTAAAGTAATCGTAGGATCATAGAGTGGTTTAGATTTGAAGGACCTTAAAGCTCATCCAGTTCCAACCTCTGCCATGGGCAGGGACACCTTCCACTAGGGCAGCTTGCTCCAAACCCCTGTGTCCAACCTGGCCTTGAACACTGCCAGGGTTGAAGCATTCACAACCTCCCTGGGCAATCCATTCCAGTGCCTCACCACCCTCATAATAAAGAATTTCTTCCTTATGTCCAACCTAAATCTACCCTGTTTAAGTTATAACCCATTACTCCCTTGTCCTATTACTACAGTTCCTAATGAAGAGGAACATTTACAGGAATTGTTAAAAAAAGAAAGAGATGGGAGAAAGTGATGGAGTTCCAGTTGGTAAGGGTGGTTTCTTGGCATCATTTCCCCTCAGATAATTTTAGGAACCCAGCTCTGGTCCTAGCTGGCATTTAAGCACCATCAGTGTCATCTGCTGGTTCATGAATAGAATAGTGTATTTTAGTTGAAGAGGAACTACAGTGATCATCATGCCTGCTGGAGGATGCAGCTACAGCAGAGGCTTGGGGGTTGCTCATGGCTTCTTCTATGTTCCTCTTGTGCTGGAGGCTTCATACATCAGTTTTAGACTCTTGCAGTGCAATGGCAAAGCTTGTATGCTGCGTGGATCCAGTCCCCCTCTTGGTCTCTTGATAGAAAAAAGCAAAAACCCCCCAAAATAAATCCTATTGTATCTTCCCAAATATTATAATAATACATTATAGTGCTTGGATAGCCTTTATATTTAGATTATAGTGCCTGGATAGCCTTTATAAAGTGTCTAATTTATGCATTTAAAAATGATCAATTGTGACAGCAAGAAGGATCTAATGAGGCAAAAAGGCAAAGAGCTTTCTGGAAAATATTTCTTTCTGAAGGTCTCTCTCCTCACTTGCACAAGAGATTTCCAGTTTATCTCAGCTGGAAATTAAAAGTTTCTTTTACAACAGGTGATTATGCCTGAATCCTAATTTGCAGCATCTTCCAATTATTGATTTAACTGCTGATGTGTGATTTTGATGTGGCAAAATACAAATGATGGAAGTTAGCATGAAAAAAAGTGGCAAAGAGAGGATCAAGAAGCTTTGAGGATGTGCCTTAAGTCTCCCGTGGACCTGTGTGTGTTTTGTTGTACACAAGTAGCCTGCAGCATAGAGACCCCAAAATCAGGGACTGAAAAGTGGTTTTGACTAATGCATCCCTGCAAGACTTCACACATGTTCCCACTGGGTGCTATTGCCTTGATTGTGACTTTATCAGAATCAAGAGGTGGTCCTTCCACATTGGCTTGAGCTTGAGCTTCCCAGGGATGATGAGGATCAGGAAGGGCAGCCTGCAGCACTCAGGGTGAGAGCTCCATGATGGAGACCTTGGGAAAGGTCTCTGTCAGGGTTGGCTTTTCTCAGAGAGCTTCCCAAAGTCATCATTAGGTGACAGGAAATTAAATTAAGGTAATGTTGAACACAGCCTCGAATGTCATAATAATGTTAAGGATTCCAAATGTTAAAGTATTTTATGCAACAGCTTCAACAACCAATCCACTTACACTCAGATAATTCCTTTCTAATGGTCCAAGACCAGCATCCAGATGACCTTACCTGCGTCCTCCAGTTCATGCTACTACTTCATGTCCTCCTCCAGCACTCAGTCAAGTCAATGGTTGTCTTTCTTTTGACTGTGTTGGAAGCTGGGTCAGGCTTTTATAAGCTGTTTTTCAACATTATAAATATAGATGGAGTATATATGTATATTTGTTCCGAAGTATCGTGTTTGACCATTTGTTATGGCATGCACAGTTCCTCTTTCAGTTTAATGAACACAGTTTTATCTGGCATAACAGCTATGTTTAGTCTACATTCACATAAAGCTTTTCCTTTAACAACGTTTGTCTAATTATGACTACCAAGCTTCACTTGGCAAAGGTTGATTTTTGGACATGCTTGTGTGTGATGGTGGTATATTGCATTGAGCAACCCCAAAACCCCGCAGATGTGAGCTTCAGGTGCTTGTGAAATGTAAGAGCCGCTGTTGTGCCCACTGTATCATGTCCCTCCTTCTGACCATAGCTAGTAACATACATTAAGGGAAAGACTGAAGGAAATGAGGTAGGTGTAGACTGAACCTTTTTTTTCTGGTTAAACTTTAGGTTATGTGTATGGGCTGGTGAGGGAGGTCCTGGCCTGCTGGTGCACCAGAAGTTACGATCTGCCTAAGAGCTCATCTCGGTCTCCCCTTGGGCAGGTTCAAGCCATTCCCCTTGGCCTGGCCCTACATCCCTTGTCCCAAGCCCCTCTCCAGCTTTCCTGCAGCCCCTTCAGGCACTGGAGCTGCTCTCAGGTCTCCCCTTCAGGAGCCTTCTCTTCTCCAGGCTGAACCAGCCCAGCTCTCTCAGATGCTCTACATCAGCTTGATTGTCCTGCTCTGGAGCTCTCAAAGTAAATCTTTCTCTCTATGGTCTGGCTTGTAAAGCAGCCATCACGTCATGGAGCTGGACATTGCAGGAGCATTTCGCATCCTAGAAGCAACCATCCCAAAGCTCAGTCTCTGTCTGGTCTGAGTCACCGGCTTCATCTGCAGAAGTCAACTTAAATACAGAAGCCTGCAAGTACTGCAATCGCTTTTGCAGGAGTCTCATTAGGACAGATATTATTGCAGCTATTAATAAAGCAGAACATTTCCTCTGCTGGATATTAATCGCTGGGTGGATACACTCAACGAGGCAGTGAAGGGCCTCATGAACAA